ACACACGTGCATCCTCAGGCCTGACCATCTTGATCAGAAACTCGGGCAGAGCCCGGGAATCTGCATTGCAAACATTCCCCAGGGAGCCCCGGCGCATGCTCAAGTCTGAGAGGCGCTGACAAACACCCACCCGCGCTGCACAGGCCACAGCTTCGGAAAGAAGAACCACTGGAGAATGTTCACCGTGGATTCGGGTTGTCGGGCCCCGCCCACCTCACAAGTCAGTGTGCACAGCCTGCAGGGCCAGCGAGGGAGGCACGCAGGTAGACTCACCTGGTGACAGGTGCTGCGGGGGCCCAGGCCCAGGTGTGGATTAGCCGACTGCTGTTGGAACCAGGGAGGCACCCAGGCCCACCCAGACCCCCCACAGGTGGGGGTGCCACCACCCTGTGAGGTTCCGATTGAATTACTCAGAAGAATAGCTCACCCTGAAACGTGATTAGAGGGCTGGGGCGAGGCGTGCCGGAGGCCGTGCGCGCTGCCCTGGCCGTCTGCTGGCCACTTTGATGTGAGGAGCGTCGCCTGGGCTCCACGCCTCCTCTTTGATTCTTAGGAGCAGTGCGGTGCGCCCAGTCCCATTTGGTGGTTTTCATGCAAGGAACTGTTCTAACCTTAAGAACCACCAATTATCTCAGGCAGGAAACCCAATCCAAGCCGCTCTGGCGGTAGGAAGATCCCCCGGCTGCGGAGCAGGGCAGAGACCACATGAAAGGCCCCGGCCCTGCTCACTAAGACCCTGCTCCCAGGCCCCAGCGACAGATTGGGCATGGGTATTGGGCCCCATCCAGCCACCTGCACTGGGGACAGCACGTGGGAGGGAACCTGAGAGAGGACTCTAACGGCCACTGAGCGCTCCCGCTGATGACACCAGGCCTGCGGCGCCGACAAAACGCTCTGGTCAGCCCTGTGCTTGAGCCCTGGGTGCAGAGGACCCGCCAGCCCCGCCCCACTGCTGCTCCTGGCACTGCACCTCCTGCCACAGCCCAGCAGTGTCCCTGGGGCTGACCCTGCCCTGCCTCTCCTTCCTGCCTTGCCACCTTCCTGGCTGAATCCTGGGCCTTCCCGATCAGCCCACACAACACGCTCCCACATGAAAACCACGATATCCTCTTGACACCACCTCCCCTTTGCAGCGAGATTCCCTGTCCATCTTCACTGTCTTCAATGCCTCTCTGCTCGCTCTCCTTTTAATATTTGGCACATGCAAAAAAAAAACACACGTAACAGGTATATTCCAAAGGGTAATACCGCGAGCATGAGGCCTGCCCGGCCGCACCGGGACAAGAACGTGCCCCGGAACCTGCCCGCAGCAGCCACAGCTTGGGGCTGCAGTTCCTTCCCATCCCGTCCCCATCTCCCCCAGAGGCGGCCGCTCCCGGGACCACAGGCTTCTCGCTGTCTTGTACTGAAGTCGTCTCATCACTGATGTGCGAGCCTTCACGGTATGTTGCTTGACCTTGCTTTTGAATTTTACATGAATAACACTGCCATGCGGAGACTTCTGGAACTTGTTCACTCAACGTTATGTTTCTTTTTTTTTTTTTTTTTTTTTTTTTTGAGACGGAGTTTCGCTCTTGTTACCCAGGCTGGAGTGCAATGGCGCGATCTCGGCTCACCGCAACCTCCGCCTCCTGGGTTCAGGCAATTCTCCTGCCTCAGCCTCCTGAGTAGCTGGGATTACAGGCACGTGCCACCGTGCCCAGCTAATTTTTTTTTTTTGTATTTTTAGTAGAGACGGGGTTTCACCATGTTGACCAGGATGGTCTCGATCTGTCGACCTCGTGATCCACCTGCCTCGGCCTCCCAAAGTGCTGGGATTACAGGCTTGAGCCACCGCGCCCGGCCCTCAACGTTATGTTTCTAAGATTCCTCCATGTAGCTGTCTGCAGCTGGAGTTCACTCACGTTCAAGGCCGTGTAATATTCCACTGTCACCAAGCTTCAGTGTACCTGTCATTCTGTTGAGGACGTTTCAGCTGGCAGGTGTATTGCCAGTACTGATACCGCTCTTAGGATCGCCCTGCCCACTGTCTTCCAGTGTGCGCGGGCAGGGATTTCTCTTGAGAGTGTATCTAGCAGAGAACTACTAAGATATGTCATATTCAATTGCAACAAATAAACACCCAACTATTTTCCCCAGAGGCTGTTTCACCTTAGCTTGCCTCCAAGAATAAGCACCTAAGAACCCACAATTAAGAAGGTCCAACTCCTTCCATCTGGGCCATGGAGTGAGTGAAAGGGGTCGTGTTTCTGTTTCCTTTCGCATGTACCTAGTATCTGGTACGTCTGACATCACTGTGAAACCTGGGTGTTTGCTTTTCTGCGAAAAGCCCCACTTCCCATTCGTTTGCCTTTTTCTTCCTCATTTGCAGATACTCTTTACGTGGTCTGCATGTAAGTTTAGTTTATCAGTTATCAGAATCTTCTCCCGGTGTGTGGCTTTCCTGTTTTATGGCATTTTTTAAAGAAAGAAGTTCTGAATTGAAATACAGTGAGTTCACGATCTTCTAAATGTGCTTGAGAAACGCTTTCTCGTATGTGAAACGCTTGCTTCTCACACTGAAGCCCTCACCCAGTGGGTATGCACTTTTGAGTTAGGTGTGAGACAGGAAACCCATTTCATTTCTTTCCCACCTGGGCCGGAATTTCTGGCAGCATTCATTAAGAACCGTCCCCTGCCTGCGGGTTTGTGTCCATCCGTCCCAGTTCTGTGCTTGTGCAGGGCTTCTGGGCTCTCTTCCCTTAGCCGATTCGCGGATCCCGCACATTCCAGAAAGGGCCTCACAACTACAGAGAGAAGCTGGAGCACACCCTGTGCTGCTGGGCTGAAACTGGAGCTATCAGTGTCCTTCCCAGCTGTTGACAGACAGGAGAGGCGGGAGTGTGTGCACATAACCCCCAGCTCCATCCACCAAGAGCTCCTGTGAGCAGCAATCCCAACAGCCAGGAGCCCCCCTCGCACCCACATCCAGGTTCCTGACGCTGTGCTCCATTCAAAGGCGCGGGGCTCCTGGGAGACGTGGCTCACTCCCGTAAAGGGAATGGGGCAGGCAGGTATAAAATGAGGCTTGAACATCTTTTTGCACCAGTAAGTAAAGAAACAGTTAAAGAACTGTAGGTATATACCAAAAAAAACACACACACACACAAAAGGCAGAAGAAAGGGCTCCCACAGCCGAACAAAGACGACCTGAGCCTCAGAGTAAACGGAACAGAACACAGCCCTGAATACAAGAGACCAGGACCCGCACAGGTGGATGCACAGAAGGAAGGGAAAAGGAAAGTCTGACGGGAACGGGACGTCGACTCCACAGCACCTCCCAACCCACTCATTACGACGGGGTCGTGACTGGGCAGTGGAGAAGCTGACCAGGGCCACTTCACCAAGCGACGAGAGAGAACGCCAGCAGGGGCCACGTGCAGTCTCAGCCCCTGCCAGGAGGCAGCGTCCGTCCTGTGACGCTCCTAGACAAGGCGCTCACCCAGAACCCAGCCACGAGGAAACGTCACAGGAACACAAGCTGGGGGCCGTTCTGCAAAGCCTCGGACTTACCTCCCGAGGTGTGAAGGTCACACACGCCCAGGGAGACGGAGCCACTGTCCCGTCCAGGCAGATTAAGTCACCATGACCACAAAGCCACGTGCGACTCGCACCTGACGTCAATGCTGGCTGGACACCTTCCCAAGGCACAGAAGGTGCAGGGTCAGAACTGCAACCACTCAAGTGACTCAGAAGCTTCTCTCTACTGTACCTGCAACTTTTCTCCAACTTTGTGGTTGGTTCCATATTGTTATTATTATTCGACATGAGTAAAAAGAAACGCATGGCCTTCTTCTTGGACTTGCTCCTACCTCAGTCTCAATAACGACCATGCTGTGGTTAGGTCACCCCTCCCGCACCATCCCACAGGGGCTAGGGCGTGGGCTCAGCACCTCTGAAGGAAAAGCAGATGAAAAAAAGTGTGCCCCCCAGGCAAGAACGCACAGTGTAGGAGCCACCCTGGCAGGGCCATCCCTTCTGGTCCTGCTGAGCTCGGGCACAGACCAGGTACCAGGCTGGGGGTGGCGGGGAGGGTGGGGTGGGAAACGTGACAGGGAGTGGTGTCTCGGAGTTGTTTCTGGGAGTTGCTGGGTCCACCTTGCCTTCAAAAGTCAACCGCACCGCATCCCACCACCACTAGATGGCACCCAAAGCTCAGCAGGAAAGGGGCCAGCCGGTGCCACAGCAGCCAAGGGAGGCAATTCCCATCCTTGTCCCCAGAGAAGCAGCTGCCCAGGGGAGCTGGGTGCGGACTCCCAACCATTCAAAGGGCTTACAACGAATTGCCTCGATGAAGCAGCCCCACTGGGTCCTCCCCACCCAAAACCAGCTTTCCAGGAAGGCGGCCTGCAGAAGAGGGCAGCTCTGAGTCCTCACTGACCCCAAGGGGCCCCACCCAAGTGATGCCAGGTCAGGGCCCAGGATTTCAGATAAGCTTCAGGATCAATCAGCAGCTGCGATGTGCTGAGATACAGAAAGCACTGGGACTTACAGGACCCCAAGCACGGGGGTTCCACGACATTTCAGAAGTTACTTTGCTTAAACTTTCCTAGAACCCCTTTTCCAGACAAGCCGGGGACGGCTGGGGAGATCACGCCCTGCCGGGGCCCGCCCCTGAGCCCTCCCCTCCTCGCCAGAGCCCACGGGAGACATTAATCAAGCCCACCATCCTCCTCCATGGAGATTCCAAATCTCAGCAGAGACCTCCGAGAACTCTAATAGCAGCTGTGTGAGTTGGCACCTCAAGTGAGAAACCATTGGTCAGTCTGGACTTAGTGTGCACCAGGTGACAATGTGGCTTTCCACACACTGCTCACTTTCCCCACCTCCCCCCCAGGCTCCCTGCCACACGCCCTAAGAACACAGAAAGTAAGGCCGCCGTTGGTATACATGCCTTTGAGCAAGACAGAAAAGGTGCCCCCCACTGCAGGGAGATGGCCCATGCCAGGATACGCCTCACAGCCACGTGCCCTTGTGCAGTGCACAACCCAACCAACTTAACACAACAACCCTACTCCAGAGAAGCGGGGATTGCGCTGAAGAAAGAATGACTATCCCATTCTTTGCAAGACGTATTGATGAAAATTATTGGCAATCAGGCCCCTAAAGAAACACACACCCAGTCACACTCATACAAGCCACAAAATAACAAAACACAGTCAGGGTGCTCTCCATGACAAACCGCCAGCACCCCCGCCTGGCCGCCCTGGGACTCCGCTGGTTAACCCTGTGCAGCCCCGGGCAGGCTGTGGGCCCCGAGGCACGGGGGAGGCCGCTGCTTCTTGCTTGCTTGTCTGAAAGGTCCCTGTGGAGTCTTCGAGGGAATTCTCACTGACGCAGCTCTAAAGGCAGGCGGGGGTGCGGCCCCTTCCCAAAGCTCCAGCAGCCGTTCTGAAGACGGTTGTCAGGCCGCGCGCAAAGGACGTGGTTCCTCCTCCCCAGCTTAGCGGGCCGTCAAAGGAAAGGTCTCTTCTAGCTTGGCCGGCCATACACGGCCGCCTCTTCATGATGGGCGCCCGCGTAGGCCAGCCGCTCTCTCCTGCCTCCCGGGCTGGGACGGCAGCCCAGACGTCACCTGCACAGCCGCAGGTGTGGGTGGTGGCTCAGCCTCTCTGTCAGCTCATCCTCCTTGGGCTCCTCCAGAACATCCCTGTGGAATTGAGGAGACGCACAACAGGGCCTCTAAAGCGGGGAGACCCTGGCACGCTCGGAAGGACAAGGGAGCAGAGCTTAGCAACACAAGCAGAGAGTGTCACAGGGACGCGGGGACTCCAATCAGCCTCAGGATAGATGCGGCCACTAGAAATGTCTACCCGGCATTCTTAAAAGCCCAGGGGCCACGTCTTCCCGAGGGTTGGCAGGACCGGGGGCTTGGCCGCAGCAACTCAGCAGCCCCTCGTGGGAGGTACAGAGGCCCCACAGCAGGGTCGCCTCCGGGCGGTCACTTTTCTGGACTAGCAGAGGAACCATCTCAAAGCTGCCAGAAGAGATGGGTGCGTTTTCCTCGGGTCCCCTGTTTACATCCAACAGGATCCAATGGACCCTGAAGACGGTTCCTTAAATATGCCTGATCCAAGAGCAGCAGAGCAGGACAAAGGCCATGACCCCAGTGCCAGGAAAAGGAAGTCCTGAGCCAGCTCCGAGCTTCTCCCCTGTGGCACGGGACCAAAGCCAGATAACTGGACAGAGGGTGAAGAGGGGGCGGAGGGGGAGGATGGCAAGGTGAGGGAGGAGGGGGCGGAGGGGGAGGAGGGGGAGAAGGGGGCGGAGGGGGCTGGAGGGGGACGATGGCAAGGTGAGGGAGGAGGGCCATCAGGGCCTGCCACCACCTTGGTCCCTCCACCCCCAGCTCTTGGCTTCTCACCCCAGAGGCCACACAGAAGTGCCTTCCCCACCCACACACCTGAACATGAGCTCCACAGTCGTCTGGTAAGTGGCCTCCGGGGTCCCAGCAAGGGACTGCAGGTGGCTGCGGGGGTCCCACTTATGAAGGAAGTTCTGGCAAGCAGGAGTGAGTGGTCAGTGAGTGTGGGCCCCAAGTGAAAGCAGCCTGGCCCCATCCCCGGCCCTCCAGGGTCAGCCTGGCACCCACCAAGGGGGCTGAGCCATCCACCCTGGACACCCAGGCGCAGGCCCCACGGAGCTGCTGGCTCCTACTGGACCCAGTGCCCAAGTCCCTCCTTCAGCCTGGCCTGGGGGCCTGAGCATCCCCACAGCCCAGACGTCAGGAGCGTCCCCCGAGGCACCAGCAGCCAGGGCAGGCAGCACTGAGCCCCACAGGAAGGCCTGGCCTCACTCAGGACCCGCCTAACCCAGCACAACTCTCCCACCAAAGTCCCAGGCAGGCCCGGCCGGTGGCCTCAGGCCCATCGAGAACACATCAGAAACAAGGCACCAGCGGAGAACAGCCTGGGCGGGGATTTCCCATACCTCCAGAATCAGGGCCAGAAACAGGTTGACCCAGATGACCGACGACACCAGCCACCACAACACAAAATAGATCTTGGACCACCTGCGGAGGACAGAGGCCCACCCGTGAGCCACGGCGAGCAGAGCGAGACCACCCGACAGCAACACCGCCGCGGCGTGGGGGGGGCAGCTCTCGGGCATCCAGCCACGCAGGCCAGGATGCTGAGGGCACCACTCTTTCCATCTCAGAAACGACCCAGCCGAGGCCTAGAAACGCGCAGCAAGCCGCCACAGGAGCTGGGCCAGCAGGAGGCGGCGCTGGGCGTGAAAGCCGGGCCCAGCTGCTGGGGCCATCTCAGCTCTTCGAGCTCACAGAAACCTCAGCTTCCTCCTTCACTAGCCTCCCCGCAGCTCCCTTGGCCCCAGGGAATTCCTCAGAAGCCCCAGACACACCGACGACCTCCAGGAGGTATAAACCCAGAGTCAGCAGCCACCATGCTGAGAGTCGCAATGTGGCCGCGCAGGGGGCCGGGGCAAGGCCAGCCAGGACGGCACACTGGCGGACCATCCCACCCCCGCCCAGGGCATCCCGTGCAGCGTGCCAGGAGCCGAGAACCCGCAGGCTGCACGGAGAACACGCCGCCGTCGGGGAGACGGGACTCACGGGCCGGAGTAGCGCCGAAAGGCATCCAGAAGCACCTGCCAGTTGTTCACCACCATCAGGTTCCACAGAGTGACCAGGGCAGCCTGCGGGGCAGACACCACGGTCCAGGAGGGCCCGGAGGTGGGGAGGGGAGGAGCAGGGGAGCAGGGGTGGGCAGGGCACAGCGCTCACCGCAAAGTCATCGAAGTTGTTGGCCCAGTACTCCAGCTGCTCGAAGCTCCCACAGGGGGCGGAGCCATTGGCAGGGGCCAGGCTGGGGGACACAGCACACCTGGGTCAGGGCGGGGCTCCAGGTTCTGAGGCCCGGCACCTCCCACCCCCTCCTCAGCCTGGCCTGAGGTCCAGACTGGGATGGAGGACGGGGAGAATGCTGCTCTGAGCAGGCCACAAGAAATGCGCTCAGCAGGGACTCCAGGCCAGGGCTCCTGGGAGAGGCTCGGAGTGGAGGTGGAAATCGGGGGTCGGGGAAAAGAGGGTGCGGGGAGGAGATGAAGGACCCAGGAGAACGCCCTCCTCTCCTGAGACACGGAGCCCACCAAGGCCACCACAAAGGCCTCCCCCAACCCCGGCACCGAGACCCTCCCGTGGCACCTCGGACCCCACCTCACCTGCTGTTTCCAGGAGGAGCCACAATCACGCCTCTAAACAAGCTGATCCCAATGATGGCAAATACGTAGTAGACCACCTGGGGGGACAGGGGCCCGGGGCCGGTCAGCCCCACCCACCCTCTGACAGAACCACAAAGCCAGGCTGATGCCTGTGAGGCCAGGTCACTCTGCCCACCTGGCTGCCACCTCAAAACACGTGCAACTGGCCTTCCCCCGGGCTGGCGGCTCCACAGAGGCAGCGGGGCTCGGACTCGGCTGGTCATGGAGCTCCCACGGGAACTGGGGCCCTGTTCACCCCAGGCCTGTCCCTAACATGCGTCAGCAGAGAGGGAGGGATACGGCCCCTGAGCAGAGGGCCTCAGTTTCCCGTGCTGTGCAAGTTAGGGGGCTGTGCAGACAGTGCCTGAGGCGAGATTCTCTTCCCGGCGTCTATTTCCAGAGCCGCAAGGGACACCTGGGGTCCAGCCCAGAGCACCCCGCGGTCCCCGGGGACGCCTTCCCACCCGGTGGTCCCTACCTCAGTGGTGGTCGGAATAAAAGGACAGAACTGCCCCCAGTGCAGCCGGGCTTCCTGTCACTCCACACAGAGCGGCCCTGGGCCTGCCTGGTCACAGGCCCCTCTCCTGCCTGGGCCCGGCCACCAGGCAGAGCAGACTGGCTTCTCAGCAGGGAGGGCCCGGGTGTCCATAGCTCTCACTCAGCAAACATGGCTGCGAGTCCCTGAAATCCCTCTAAGAAAGGAGCCTCGACTCCGTCCTCACCTAGGGCCTGTGTGGGCTGCGGGGTCCCTGGAGGCAAACTCCTGTGCCTCTTGCATTTCTGTCATTCATTTCTCAACGAGGCCACAACCCAGAAAACACGCAGGACTCAAGTTCCCCAAACAGTCTCCGGCGTGGGAGGGAAGTGCGCCGAGGCAGGGCCACCAGCCACACCACCCCCAGCTCCCTGCTCTGCAAAGAACGGGAGGCCCCTGGCTTCTTGCCCCGACCCTGTACTTCCCTGGCCTCAGGAACCTGGTGCCGTCAGAACCCAGAACCTTCCTGCAGACAGAGCAGTGAGCGGCCCAGCACTGCCTCCGCCAGCCTCCCAGCCTCCCAGCCTCCGCCAGCCTCCCAGCCTCCCAGCCTCCCACTCCCGTGCACGCCCGCCGCCAGCAGCAGCCGGGACTCACCACCAAGATGCCCGCCAAACGCACGCATGTTCTGCACCAGGCCCAAGACGGTGCTGGCCACCACGGCCATCGGCTGAGGACAAGAAGAGAGCACAGCCCTTACACCTCCTGGCCCCACTGAGGGGACACCATCCTGGCCCGTCACCCTGACCGACAGAAAGGCAAGACGGGCAGGCCGGTAACCACCAACCCACACACACACCTGGACCCACAGCCACGCGCACACGGCTCTACACACCACATAGCCTGGCAGGCCCCCACGTCCACCCCTACACATCCCACAGCCGGGCACCGGCATCTCCCCCACGCACCCGCACAACTAACTCACGCACTCTCCGTCCCAGCACGTCCGACCCCAGCCTATTCAAGCCCTGACTTCACACCCTCTGGGAAGCCCGTCTCTGCCCGCCCACCCCTGCGGCTGGGTCAGCTACTCTGCGGCCTGGAGGCACCAAAGAAATGCAGAACCACCCACAGGGAGTGAGTCTGAGAAGGGACCTCAGACCCAGCAAAGCCCCAGCTCCAAAGGGCCACTCCTCCCAGTCACAGCGCAGCCGGAAGAAAGGCTTTCAAATCGGCCCCATAGACGCCTCCAAAGTAAACAGTACAGCTGAGCGCCACAGTGGAGACCAGTGAGCATGTACGTGTGCATACGTGTGTGTCATGAGCATGTACACACTCACGTGAGAGGTCCCAGGAAACTGTGACTTCAATCAAAATGGCATTATTCCAGGGCCTGCTGCGCAAAACTTCCCTTAAAGTCACAGTTCCCGAGAACCTGCCGGTTCTGACACCTTACCGCATGTGTGCACACGCGACCGTGCGTCTCATACAGGCATGAGCTCGCATGTATATTTGTACGCGATGATCTGTGTGTTATGCTGGATCTAGGTGTATTAACGTATGTGTGTGTGTGCAATCATGGCGTGTGTACTGCATGCAAATGTGGCTGCACACGTGTGACTGATCACATGTGCCTGTGAGTGCTTGTGTATGTATGTGCATGGTCACATTTGTGGCTATGTGTGAGATCACATGTGCATGGCTGTACTGTGTATACGTGATTGTGTGCGCCTGTATGGTTGTGTGTAATTATGTGTGAACACGCGTACATGTGTGTATGCAGGCCCCCCAGCACAGCAGCCCCCTAGGAAGGATCAGGACTCCTGAGCTGCCTTCAGGTGGGACATACTGCCAGGTGGGACAGGTACACAGCTCAGAGGAAGGATGAACAGGGACAGAGGAGGGACGTGGACACCCAGAAGAGGGGTCTTAGGACATGGAGGCAGGAGCAGTGAGGTCCAGAACCCGCCACCCCGCCTGCCTGCCCCTTCAAGGTAACCACTGCTCCTAAGGGGTGCATTAAGAGAAACTAGGGCTCAGAGATGGCCACGAGCCACCTGCACCCACATGAGGATGTCCTGCACACGAGCCCCCTGGCCAGGGGTACTCTGCCTCTCATTACTAGCACCCTGGGAGTCATGGCAAAGGCCTTTCTGGGAACCTCAGAGACCTGGGGGAGCACTGGGATGCCCGAGGTTCCAAGAGCATGCAGTTGCTCCCGCCACCAGCCAAAGCATCGCACCCGCCATGCCCTCACCTGCTTTGCTGTCCCCACCCGGAAACGCAGAGCTGGCTCTCCCGCTTCTGATGACCCTACCCCAGCATCACAAGAACATGGCAGAAGTGAGGGTGCAGCCAGGGGACCCGGGGTGACAGGCACAGTCCACAGGCCCTCCCTGCCCCTGGCTCACCCATCCTGGAGCAACACAGCAGCGTGAACCAGGAGGGCAAGCGAGTGTGGGGGTGGGGGTGGCCACACGCACCTTCATGTTGGGGATGATACGCAGGAAACGGAACACGATGAGCATGTTCAGCATGCGGGTCATGTCCCACAGCGACAGCAAGCCCAGCATCTCCGGCCTCCTAGGGACAGACAAGGGAGGGAGGCCGGTTGGGAGGGGCCCAGGAGCCCCACAGTGGGGGGACAAGGAGATGCGTGGTGAGCTTCTGGACGGACGGAGGCACAGAGAGGGCAACAGGGCACGCCGGGAGCGCACCCCGCAGCCAACACTGAGCAGAAAAGCCTCTGCAGGGCGGCGAGAGGGCAGAGCCAGGGCCACTCACTGCTCGGCTTCCACCTGCAGCCCCTGGGCGACCCCCATCACCCCGACACCTTCCCACCCAGCCCTCAAAGGTAGGCCGGCAGAACTCCTTCTACACAGACCCTCCGTCCGCACAGGAGGCCACTAAGGTTCCAGACGCTGAGACCTGTTCCAGCTCAGGCCCCGGCAGAACTGCCTGAGCCCATTTCTTCTGCACCCGCCTCCTGCCCCCTCACCATCTCCTGTCCCATGACCCTGACCCCTGACCCCATCCCTGAACCACACCCCACTTGGTCTTTCTGTGCTTTCCTTTCTGTTGAAACTTAAACCCATTCTCATCCAGATTGTCAGCCCCCAAGGTAGAGACTCAGACCAAAGTGCAGCCAGCATGCTCAGTGCGCACCAAAGACGCGGCGACGCCAGCCCCATGACGCAGCATGGAGGCACTGCCTGCCTTCCTAAGTCCTGGGGGGCTTCCTGGGGAGGTGACGGAACAGCAAGGTTCTTGCTGGACACCATCTGCACCCCCAACAAGTGATTCCCAGCTGCTCACCAGGCAGTGGGATAGATGACAGAGCAGAGAGACCCAAGGAGCCCAGCCTGAACACGGGGCTGAGACTGGCATGTGTGCCTGTTGGGCCCTGTGCCCACCCTTCCTGTCTCATCATGGGCACCCAGGAGCCACGCTCCCGGGGCAGAGCAGCCTGGCTGATGGCCCTGCTGTGCCATGAGGCTCTCAGGGTCCCCACCCAGTTAGTCTCTTCGTGGACAGACCCCTGGGCAGTGGGGAATCAGTACACAGCATCAGAGTTCACCGAGCCCCGGGCCCCTGGATCCACTATTTTAAGGGGGTAAAGTGATGTCCAGAGTGGGAGGTGATGACTCAAGCTCACACCACAAGCTGGGAGCTCTCCCAAGGACCTTCCCGCCAACAGAAGGGCCCAGCCCAACCCCAGTGATCACAGGTCCCCTGAGACCTGAGCCAGGGGCATCTCTGCTTCCAGCCCCCAGCACATGCACTGGGAGGGGGAGCCCACTGCTACCCTGGAAGGCGCCTCCAAGGGGGAATGGTGGCTTCTGGAGAGAGGCCCCCAGAGCAACGGCAGGGCCCTGCCCCGACACTGCAGGATCAGCCCACCCGTTCCACCAGTCAGAGCAGACCCAGCAGGCAGGCCCCACCCCAGACACCGTAGAGACCCTCCCGGGGACACTAGGTGGGATGCTGTTTGCTGTAGCCGCCCACAGTTCTGCCCAGTCACATACCAGCCTGGTTGCGGCAATCGGTACACAGCCAGAGCTGAGATCTCCAGAACCTTTAATTACAAAGGAAAAGAAGCTTCGCTACAGCAACGCTAATCTGGGAGGCCCTGAAAGGAATTATAAAGCTCATCTCTAACATATTCTCCCCAAAAGGGGCTTTTGGGGAGAAATCAGAGCTTGGTCCTTGACCCCATGAGTTGGTTCCAGATGTCGGGACTTCCTTCAGCTGGAGAGACACCCTGGCCTCAGGCATCAGGGGACTGCACAGATTGGGGTGGTGGGGACAGCAGAGAAGCTGCTCAGTCAAGGACAGACCACAGGGCCCTTCTCAAATTTCTCTTTGCCCGTGTGCCCAAGGGCCTGCCAGCTACAGCCAACATCACTCTGATGTGGCTGCTTTTGACACACACACCGAATGTGCCATCCCCTCACTCCCACAGGGTCTGGGGAAGACGTGTAAGCGTTTTCCGAGAACACCCTAGGTGCTGAGAGCCCCCCGGCCCCTCACTCCACCCATGCTAACACTCAGATGCGGTGGAAAGCCAGCCTCCTAGAGCCCCCACCAGCTGCCTGCTGAGCAACTCGGTCAGCAGGGAAGCCAGCCCTCATCACTGAGAGCAGGAGCCCACCTTCCCACAGCCTCTGGTCCTCAGGGGAGGAGGCCTGAGATGGGCCCACGCAGAGCCCAGGTGGCATTCACCCACCCGCCCAGGAGGGCCCGGCCTCAGATGCGCCCACTTTACCAGGAGGACCGCGGTAAGGAGCCCGTCAAACACGTTGCTGGGGTAGGACAGGTACCCTCGCAGGCCTAGGGCAAAGACCTTGAGCAGCAGCTCCAGCAGGTAGTACACGATGAAGACGCAGTTGAGAATCTGAAAGAGCAGGAGAGGCGCCCAGCATGGGGCCTCGGGGCTGCCAGCCCCGCCCAGCCTCTCCTTGGCCCTGACAGGGAGCAGCTCAGAGCTTACCCCCAGGACGAAGTCATCGCGCTCAGCAGGCAGCACGTCTGCATCCAACACCAGGAACACCTGTGAAGCCAGAGGAGAGGCTCACCGCAGGCCCGGCACGGCGCCGGGTGAAGCAGGACAGGCAGGCTCGTGCACAAGGTGGGCAGGAACAGGCTCCTCCACGCCAGCTCTGGGGCAAATCCGCACTCACGCAAATGGACGCCAGGTTTGCCAGGGCGATGAGGTTCCCCAGGTAGTCGAAGTAGTAGTGGCCAAAGAGGAACTGGGCGCTCTGCAGAAATGGGGACTGGTACGTGGGCCTCGGCGGGTGCTGGGCGGAGAACACACTCGCTCAGAAGCACAGTCCAGCAGCCGCAGCTGTCACAGCCCAAAAATGCCCATGCCCTCTCATTGTGGGATTGGACTTTTTCCTACCTCATCCCCGTGCTATCTATCCAGCCACAGGAAATAACCCCAGACACAGAAATCGCTCTAGACACAAAAGGTGTTCATCTCAGGGGTCTTTGCAACACCAAGAGAGAAACAGAAGTAAGTGACACATCCACTGAGTGGAAGTAAAGCACGCTGTGATATCGGAGTCGCCTTAAATGTATGCAAAGTGTCGCCCTGATTAAAAAAAAAAAAAAAAAAAAAGCTGTGTGATAAACACATGTAAGTGATGTGCTCATAGCTACAGAAACTTAGCACAGAACCAACTCCTGGACTGTGGCTGGCAGCAGTGGAAGGCAGTGGGGGTCACGGGGGCAGGCGGGCAGCCACCGCCACCATCGGGACCCTCATGAGACCCAGTACTGTGCGTGCTCAGCAGCCTCCTTGAAACGCATCCACGTGTGCACGAGGTTGGCAACGGGAACTGCCTACACGTTCCTCAGCAAGGGCACCCGTGCCACTGTCCCACGCAGGAGCCACTGGCCACCGGTGGCTAGTTCATAAAAATTTCAACGCAATAAAATTCAGCACCCGGTGCGTCAGCGGCAACATCCACGTGTCAAGTGCTCCGCGGCTACAAGTGACAAGTGGCTACAGCTCATCCCCACAACAGTCCCTATGAAAATGGAGGGCGAGGAGACATGGCTGAGCGAAGAGGCAGGCTGCGGAGTGAAAATGGCGACGCTTCATGTAAACGTCAGAGAAGAACCGAGCAAGTGCGTCCGCAACTACCTGTACATGCCTGAAATGACACGGGGAAAAGTCCGGAAGGAAAACCCCAAAATATCCAGTTGAATAGACAGGCTATTTTGGAGTGAGACCCAAACGGGCGGTGCCCACAATCGACGCCCTTCCTCTTGCCCCCCGATCTCCCCCTTGACACATACGCGGCCACAACAGGCATCTCGTCCACAGCGAGCGGGGGCTGAGGCTGTCTCAGCGGTGGGGGGGCTGGAGGGACACAGTAGGGCAGCAAGGCTCCCCTGTGGTTTTTGGATGCCACATAGGGGACCGGGGTGTGGTGTGAAGTACATGTGGAGATGCTCTGTCCCGGACACACAGTCCCCAGGCCACCTACAGCCGAGGCCTGACCTCCCCCAAACTTCCCAGCTTCCCACAGTCCTCAATGCAGAAACCAGTGCCCAAGGCCACCTGCCCACCCTGCAACCCAATTCCCTCGGCAGGCCCATGCCACTGCCTGCTCAGAGCCTGGGCCTGCTGCACCCGGGAGGGTGGCCTCCTGCTTGCCCAGTGACCACAGACCAACCAGTGAACGTCTCTGCGTTCCTGTGTCTAAACCACACCTTCTCTCAAGAGGTCTGAACCCCGGCTTTGGGAGGGCCCCTTCCAGGTTCATCCTTCCTCACATACTCCCCCGAGCCCAAGGACATCACAGTTTCCTTACATCTTCCAGTTACTCTTTCATCATAGTTGACACTTCCACATGCTACAGTTTCTAAGTAAACCAGACTGAGGCCTTGGCCCAGAGAGACTTAGCATTATCGATTATGTTTAAACGCAAGGAGAAGCATTCATGTTACTTGTGTAACTGAGGAACAACGGACACGGGACATGACGGAAGTGGCTGTCTCTGGGTAGAAAGACAGTGGGGCGGGGGGAGGTTTCCACTTTTCCCTGCTGTCTGTAATGAACGATGACTCATTTTTAACCCCAAAGCCTCTCAAAGGAAGAGGAGACCTCTTTCAGCAGCAGCCAGGGCACCTTTTCTGAAGCTCACCAGCATGCACCCACCTACCCCCTGCCCAGAGCCAGGCTGATGCCCAGGCAGTGACCCCACCTGCAAGGGCTCTCAGAAAGGCTGGAGCTCCCATGACATCAGCCTGCCCAGAAAGCATCTCTTTGCGCTTCCAAAACCACAGGCTGCCCCAAATCTCTGCAACCCCAGAAGCATCCATCTGCCTCCCAAACCTGAAGCTCAGCCAGCCCTTCACATCAGCGGGCTTTGCATCCAGAGACTGAACCAACGGCAGATCAAAAATACTCAAAGGAGGCCGGGCGTAGTGGCTCACGCCCGTAATCCAAGCACTTTGGAGGCCAAGGCGGGCGGATCACCTGAGGTCGGGAGTTCAAGACCAGCCTGACCAACATGGTGAAACCCAGTCTTTAAAAAAAAAAAAAAAATACTCATGGGAAGAAGCATCCGTGCGGAGCATGTACAGGCTTTCCTTACCATTATTCCCCAAACTTCCACAGTATTCCTAGCTACTAGGTACTATAATCAGTCTAGAAATGATTTAAAGTATACGGGAGGATGTGTGTAGGTTACATGCAAACACTATGTCATCTTGCATTAAAAACTTAACCATCCATGGATTTTGTGTCCACGTGGACTCCCAGAACCAATCCCCTGCAGATACCGAGGGACGACAGCCTCCCCTCTGCAGTCAGCATTTTGGGGAAAGAAGGTGTCAGAAAATCAGATTAAGGATATCACAGCTCCCGAAACCTGCGGAATGCAAACTCCCATCTCAAAGCCCAGTGCTTGGTGCCCTGGGAAGAAACAGCAACGCCGGGACCTTCAGGGAAACAGCCAGGCTGGGAATCGGGCCAGGCCTGCGTATTGGGCCTTCCCCGCTCCTGTGCGCACGTGAGCCCGCTCTACTGGGTCACGAGCAAAGCAATCCACCCACCCTTCCTCTGCAGCCTCACAGGAGAAGAACTCCTCTCCAGCTCTCATAAATCCTGACGCTGGAAAGGGCTGGGAAAGCCAGCTCTGGACAACCAGGACTCAACTGCACCCTCCGGAATGGCAGAAACTGCCCAGAGAGAGCCCAGAGGGCCCAGAGGATGCCAGGAGCAAACCCTGAGGAGCAAAAATCACCTTTCCAGAACCTTCAGGATGACTGGCTTCTCCCAGCCTGCATCCACCTGCCTCTGGAAGGGGCTGGATCACAGCAAACCCAGCCAACCACAGCCACTAAGAGTTGCTTCCCGAGCCCCAAACACCTCTGCCCCGAGGACAAGAGCCATTATCTAGAATGGTGCTTTTTTTTTTTTTTTTCCAAGTCAGAGTCTTGCACTATCCTCCGGGCTGGAGTACAGTGACATGATCTTGGCTTACTGTAACCTCTGCCTTCTGGGCTCAAGCGATTCTCCTACCTCAGACTCCTGAGTAGCTAGGATCATAGGCACCTGCCATGACACTTGGCTAATTTTTTGTATTTTTATTACAGATGGGGTTTCACTATGTTGGTCAGGCTGGTCTTGAACTCCTGACCTCATGATCCGCCTGCCTCAGCCTCCCAAAGTGCTGGGATTACAGGCATGAGCCACAGTACCCGACCGGAATGGTGCTTCTTAATTTCCTGTCATCTGAGAATCATCTCCACAGTCTCTGCAAAATCTGCACCTGGTAAGGTTAATTTCCTATCTTCAAGCCAGCCTTCAGTTGACACTGCACTGCCCAGCCTTGTCCCAAGCAGAGGTTTGATGGCATGAATGTTCAAAGCACCGCCTGCTGGTCCTCGCCACATTCATCTTCCCTCCCCCAGGGGGTTGGGGGAACCCCACAGAGAAATACAGCTTTAAAGGGGATGCCCAGGCCGGGCGCGGTGGCTCAAGCCTGTAATCCCAGCACTTTGGGAGGCCGAGGCGGGTGGATCACGAGGTCAAGAGATCGAGACCATCCTGGTCAACATGGTGAAACCCCGTCTCTACTAAAAATACAAAAAATTAGCTGGGCATGGTGGTGCGTGCCTGTAATCCCAGCTACTCAGGAGGCTGAGGCAGGAGAATTGCCTGAACCCAGGAGGCGGAGGTTGCAATGAGCCGAGATCGCGCCATTGCACTCCAGCCTGGGCAACAAGAGCGAAACTCCGTCTCAAAAAAAAAAAAAAAAAAAAAAAAAAAAAAAAAGGGGATGCCCAAAAGGGTGATGGGAATGAGCACATGCCACTCAGGCTCAGGTTGGGGCAGGGCCTGACTCCAGAGGTCTGGGAAGACCTTAGGAAAACGTTATTTGGAAGACCACCCCCGATAGGGGCCTGCAGCCACAGAGGCTGACGAGTCCTGAAGCAGGTGACAGTGGGTATGGGCTGAATTTTGTCTCCCTCATAATTCCTGTCTTAAACCTCTAACCCCAGTAGCTCAGAATGTGACCCTATTTGGAGACGGGGCCTTTTAAAAGGTAATTTAGTCAAAACAAGGCCATGAGAATGGGCCCTAACCCAATCTGAACAGGGTCCTCATAAGAAGAGGAGCTGAGGGCCGGGCGCCGTGGCTCATGCCTATAATCCCAGCACTTCGGGAGGCTGAGACAGGTGGATCATGAGGTCAAGAGATGAAGACCATCCTGGTCACCATGGTGAAACCCCGTCTCTTCTAAAAATACAAAAATTAGCTGGGCATGGTGGCGCGCACCTTTAGTCCCAGCTACTCGGGAGGCTGAGGCAGAATTGCCTGAACCCAGGAGGCGGAGGTTGTGGTGAGCCGAGATCGCGCCATTGCACTCCAGCCTGGGTAACAAGAGCGAAACTCCGTCTCAAAAAAAAAAAAAAAAAAAGTCAGGCGCTGTGGCTCAAGCCTGTAATTCCAGCACTTTGGGAGGCTGAGGCGGATGAATCACGAGGTCAAGAGATCGAGACCATCCTGATCAACACGGTGAAACCCCGTCTCTACTAAAAATACAGAAAATTAGCTGGGCATGGTGGCATGTGCCTGTAGTCCCAGCTGCTCAGGAGGCTGAGGCAGGAGAATTGCCTGAACCCAGGAGGCGGAGGTTGCGGTGAGCCGAGATGGCGCCATTGCACTCCAGCCTGGGTAACAAGAGCGAAACTCCGTCTTAAAAAAAAAAAAAAAAAAAAAGAAGAGGAGCTGAGGACGCACAGCGGGATGACCACGTGAGGACACAGGGAGAAGGCGGTCTCTGCGAGCCACAGAGAGGCCTCAGGAAGAACCCGCCTGCGACACTTTGACCTCAGACAGATGGCCAGGACCATGAGGGGACAAATGTCTGCTGCTTCAGCCCCAGCCCTGCCCGTCTGTGGTGCCATCCAGCGGCCTGAGAAAAGAAAAGTGACAGAACTAGAAGGCGGCCGCGGCCCCATCCAAGTTTCAGTGTCTGGCTCAGTCCTCTGAGGCTGAGTGGCTGGAACGGCAGCCCCATGCAGCCCCCACACTGCCTGTGAACACCTGGGCTGTTTCCCAATGTCTCCGCCCACCGCCCACCTGGCCCAATCCTTCTAGACACAGAACTTAGCCAAATGCTGAGGCCCACCTGGTAACTTTGTAACCCAGTGTCAAGGCTGAAAGCCAAAGGCTTTGGAGAGGACCAGTGTGCAGACCTCCTGAGCAAGGACAGACAGGAAAAGGAGTCTGTCATGGAAACAGAGAAAACCATTCAGAAGATTCCTCTGTGTCAGGCTGGGCTCAGGATAGTTCCTGGGGTCTGGTGAATTGCAAAGAAATCTCTCCAGTCGCCAGGAGCCAAACAGATCTCCATTCCCAGTTCCCATCCTAGGAGCCGGGATCCCTGGGCAGGTGAATTCCAGCACTGATCATTAGAAGAGTTCCCTCCTGGGTGATCAAGGGCAGTGGAAACTGGAAAGCCCCCACTCCCCTCCCTGGGCAGCGGTAGCCCGTCACCTCTTTTTTTTTTAGACAGAGTTTCACTCTCGTTACCCAGGCTGCCAGTTACCTCTTTAACCACACTCCTGTCAAGCTCGTTGAATAGTTTCTGAAACTCATCGACCGACAGCGGGACACTACCGTAGGCGCGCACCTGCTGAAGAGGGAGGAGCACAGGTCAGCCGGGCGCATGGGAAGGGGAGCACCCTCAGCCTCAGCCCCACCCCGATGGGCTGTGAACCCTGCAGACGATCTGAAGCCACACCCCTAGTCCTGAAAAGGGGCTGCTGGCCCCAGTGACCTCCCTGGAGGAGCCAGAGGTGGCTGGGGGCAGGGGACAGGCGGCGGGTACCTCCATCATGGCCTCTTTGTGGAAGCTGTCCAGCTGGATCCTCTGAAGCACCTGCAGCAACTTCTGGGGCTTCACGCCAGCTCTGCAGGGAAACCACAGCCCAGTGGGCACAGCCAGCTCAGCCCCCGGGAACCCGGGCCTGGGTCGTCCGGCCCTGGCGTCTGGCCTGAGCTTTGCCACAGACCCACTCTGCACCCCTGAGCCACAAGAGCCACAAAGGGGGACAAGGAGGAGGCCAGGCCACTCAGCCCTTCACCAGCCCAGGGGCCATGGGAGGACATGAAGACAAAGGCACAGACTCAGAGCAAGGACGCCAGGAACCACGGAGCGCCAGGGGCATGGGGGTTTCTGTGAGTCGGGTGCCAGCCAGCAGGCCGAGCACAAAAAGCCCAGAATGAACACCCAGCCCCAGCACTCACGGCAGCCACGTGCCCACCCTCAGGGGGAGGAGGGTCCATGTGTGGCACTCACGGCAGCCATATGCCCGCCCCCCGGGGGAAGAGGGTCCATGCCCAGCACTCACGCCTGAGGGAAGGCTCCCTCCTCCCCCGCCACGGAGGACAGGACTTCGAAGGCAGCCCGGGTCCCCAGCCGCCTCCGAAACAGTGAGGTCTGGAGAGATTTCTGTAAAGAGGAAGGCTGTGAACGGCAGGATCAGCCCTCCCCCAGCTCAGAACCCCCACCCAGCCCTCCCCTGGGGAACAGGCAGAGGGGGAGCCGGGGCAGCCTTGGAGGGGACACAGTCCCCCACGGCTTGGGGCAAACCCTTGCCCCAAGGGCATGAGAGCACTGGCCATAGACTCCCAGGACAGGCCGCGCAGGGCGATGCCCGACAGCTGCACTGTGCAGCACACTGGGCCGTGTTTCTTCTCTGTGTGCTGGGGGAGCCCCCGGCTCCCCATCAAGAGGGTTTAGCGTCCGCTGTCCTGGGAGCTGCCATTCTGGCAGCTTCCCCTGGCGGGGACTGAGACACTGGGTGGTGGGAGCAACAACATGCAAGTATCCCCAGCTGACCCGCCGGAGGCGGCAACCCTGCCCTCCCATCCCACCAGGACCCGGGCCAGCAAAGGTCTCCCAGCAAGGGGTCACCAGCTGCCCAGCTCAAGCCACACCCTGCCTGGTCTCCAGGAGCTCCAAGCACAGCCGGCATGGGGGCGCTCCCTCACCATCAAGTAGCCACGGAACTGACTGTAGATGATGGCCGTCAGCAGGTTCATCAGAAACAGGCTTCCTTCAAGAGGAGACAGCCACTGGTCAGAGGGGCCACCAGCGCTGCAGCAAAACCAACACGACGCCGACCCAGCACAGGACAGGACAGCACAGCGCCGGGGGTGTCCCCTCGCAAATGGAACGTGGCAGGGCCAGCGCAGTCACGGGCAGGACCACGAGGTCAGTGGCGGTAACAGAACAGAGTGTGGGGTGGGGCTCCCTGGGATGAAGCTGTGGGGTGGGGGCTCCCTGGGGTGAAGCTGTGGGGTGGGGGCTCCCTGGGGTGAAGCTCTGGGGTAGGGGCTCCCTGGGGTGGAGCTCTGGGGTAGGGGCTCCCTGGGGTGAAGCTGTGAGGTGGGGGCTCCCTGGGGTGGGGGCTCCCCGGGGTAAAGCTGTGGGGTGGGGGCTCCCTGGGGTGAGGGGTCCCCGGGGTGAAGCTGTGGGGTGGGGTCTCCCTGGGGTGAAGCTGTGGGGTGGGGGCTCCCTGGGGTGAAGCTGTGGGGTGGGGGCTCCCGGGGGTGGGGGCTCCCCAGGGTGAAGCTGTGGGGTAGGGGCTCCCCAGGGTGAAGCTGTGGGGTGGGGGCTCCCTGGGGTGAAGCTGTGGGGTAGGGGCTCCCTGGGGTGAAGCTGTGGGGTGGGGGCTCCCTGGGGTGGAGCTCTGGGGTGGGCGCTCCCTGGGGTGAAGCTGTGGGTTAGGGGCTCCCTGGGGTGGGGGCTCTCTGGGGTGGAGCTGTGGGGTTGGGGCTTCCTGGGGTGGAGCTGCAGGGTAGAGGCTCCATGGGGTGAAGCCATGGGGTGGGGGCTCCCTGGGCTGTGAGGTGGGGGCTCCCTCGGTTGATCTCTGGAATGAAACACACTTATGTGAAGTTTCAGGTCGTGGAGGGGGCAGGGTATACCAGTCCCTGAGCTCTCAGGATCCTGTCACAGAATGCCGGCCACACTACCTGCACTCACCTATCACAGTAAAGACTATGAAGAAGATGGCATAGGCCCGGTTCTTGGAATACGCAGGAACCATCACTGAAAAAAAAAAAAAGAAATCACAGAACTAAAACCTTGCTGACAGCCTGAGTACCTGATCTCACTCGCATCCTGACCCTGCACAATTTGCTTTCACAATAGAAAGGTCTCTCCACTGCCGAGCATGGTGGCTCATGCCGGTAACTGGAGAGGCTAAGGTGGGCAGCAGATCATTTGAGGTCAGGAGTTTGAGACCCGCCTGGCCAACATGGTGAAACCCCATCTCTACAAAAATACAAAAATGAGCCAGGTGTGGTAGCTCGTGCCTGTAGTCCCAGCTACTCGGGAGGCTGAGGAGGAAGCAAAAAAAAAGGAAGTCTCCTGGGAGGGCTGAGAGGCCTTCCTGTCCCAATTCAATCTCTCAGCTCAACTCTGCTCGCACACCCTCCAGGACGGGGAACTCCCTACCTACCAAGGACGTCCGTCTGCACACAGGGCTGAAAGCCTCCCTGCAGCCCTCCCCACAGACAGTCCTGCTCCCGCTGTGGTCACCTGCTAGGACTCAGAGGACACAAGGGACAGCGCTCAGGGTCGGGCTGCACAACTCCCCCGAGTGTGGACACTCCCAGGCTGCCCTCCAGGGAAGGTCTCCGGGGCTGTGAGCTCCAAAGGAAAGGCACCAGCCAGGGTGGCCAGGCCACAGCCAAGCCCAGGGCCACGGCCTCCATCCGGGCCACACTCGCCCTGAGCGGCGGAGGCCCCATCAGCACCACACGGGGTGAGCATCGCGGCCAGTAAGACCCTGGGCCTCACGTGCTGCTGCCCAGTGGCTCCCACAGTGGACCTCAGCAGCAACGGGCACGTGCGGCTGTGGATCTCCAGTAGGAGGGCACCGGGGGACGCCCCTGACCACGGACCTCCAGCAGGAGGCAGCAGGGGACCCCACTGACCACTGCCATCATCACCCTATGAAGAACACCAGCCGCTTTCAGCTTCTCGGACCGGTGAGAAGACAGAAAGGAAGGAGGAGCTGAGAAAGCAAAGGCAGGAGAGGAAAAAGGAAAGGAGCAAAGAGAAGAGAGAAGCGAGAGCGAGGAGAAAACCAGACAAGAAAGAAGAGAAAGGCAAAGAAGGGAGGGAGGAAGAGTCACCTTGCTTCCCCACCTGTTGACCAAAAGGCCTGACACTCCCACTGGGGTCGAAGGCTCAGCGTCCAGCCCCCACACTGGGCTCACCGACCCCCAGGGTCCCTCCCTGGCCCTGCACGCACCGTCAGGGTTGTTGGCCGTGGTCAGCAGCACCAAGAGGGAAGTCAGAGACTCAGGCAGGTTCCGGAAGTAGGCCAGCCTCTCCCTGTCCTGCCCATCGTCCTGCTGGGAGCAGAAGCAGCAGCTCCAGAGCACCACTGGGTCCCCACCCCACAGGCTGAGCTCCAGGCCCCAGGCCCAACCAGCTGGAACCATCCACCCGATGCCCAGCCTGCAGCTCCCTGTGGCCTCCCAGCAGGCTGAACTCACGGCCAGATGGGACCAAACTCAGGATCTCCAGGCACAAGAGCAGGCACCCAGGGAGACCACTCACCCGCATGGACATGGCACCCGGAAGCAGGCTGGCTCAGAACCACGGCGAGAGCCCTCGGCTGGCCTCGCGACCACAGCCCTCCCTCAGGCCAGCGCACCTGCTCGAAGCTGACTCTGCCATGCACTGTGTGAGCAGTGAGGCTGCAGGTCAGGGGCAGGAGGGGCAGGAGGGGCAGGAGGGGCAGGAGGGGCAGGAGGGGCAGGAGGGGCAGGGGGGGCCCAGGCTGCCAGGACGAAGAATGTCAGACCCCTCGTGAAGCCTGCTCTAGAGGCTGTGTCAGGGCCCACGGCCACCCTCGGGACCCAGTGGCACCGTGCTGGTGGCTGTGGCGAATCACAGCCATTAGCAAGGGGGCATCCACACCAGAGTCCCTATCCTCTCTCCCCGGAGAAGGGTCCCAGCCACAAAACACAGCGGACACATGCAGTGTCTCTGCTCGGAAAGCAACCCCCACCTGAGACTCTGGGCCCGGGGCTCTCACTGGGGCCGGGCTCGTGGGCACCCTCTGCCTACCAACCCTCCAGACCCCCAACCGGAAGACGGGCACTGCCTGCAAAGCAGACTGGTTGTATGAAATGTGTGGGCAGCTGGCACAGCAGGACTCGGCACCCAAGCACACAAAGCAACCTCCTCTCTTAGGGATCGTTTCAAAGCCGCAATCCCAGCTGTTGGCCAAGGGACAACCCCACAAGCAGGCCTCTGCACGGAGCCGCCTGTGGGCCACTGTCTCTTGCACAGGCCACCGCTCCTGCCTCAGGGCCTCAGGATAGCACAGAGGCCTCCAAGGCTTCGCCTATAAATTGGCACTACCCCCTCGTCAACCCAGACAGGGGGTCGCAAGGACACGCGAGCGAACTGGTGGTGAAGACTCCACAATCCACTAGGGGAGGGGCACAGGGGCCATGGGAGGAAGGTACAGGCGGGGAGCACTGCCAGGCACAGAGCCACGGGTGGGGACAGGTTTCCCCGCTGGGGAGAGCGAAGTGGCCCCTCCTGGCCCTCAGCCCAAGTCAGAGTGGAGGAGCAGAGCAAGGCCTGAAGGGCAGGCTGGCCTCCAGCGGTCACCAGAGACGGCAGGACCGGGGCACTCGGCCCTCCTGGGCCTCGCCCCTCCCACCCCCACCCAGTCAGAACCACCACATTCCCAAAGGTAAAGGAAGCCCACCGAGCGCCCACTGAGCAGGCTCGGGGCCAGACTTGGAGTCAGCGGAGGAAGGTTCTCGCACCCACAGCACCTAACAGACAAGGACACTGAGGTCCGCAGAGCCGACACAACTCCCCAAGGCAGGTGGCCCTGCCCCGGCCCGTCTCCCAGCCCACCCTGTGCACCTCCCAGCAAGCTGCATGCTCCTCCTTAATTCAGCTCCTACTCAGGCAGACCCTAGGCGTGACCTCTATAGCCCAGCCCGAGCCACAGCTCCGCAGGGACGCAGAGGAGCCCCGGGCTCCCACCCAACCTGCCACAACCAGCCCACCGCCCCCACCTGAGAAACGTCTATAAAACGGGACAGCACCATCGCCGCTGCTGGGGACCACACACCCCAACGCCAAGCCTGGTTCTTCAAAACCAATCCAGGTGGGAGCTTCACAACAGCAAGGCCAGCAGGGACAAGCAGGCTGGCTCTGGACAGGGCTCACAGAGGGAGAGAACACAAGGTGGCCGCCGCACCCAGCCAGCAGGAGCTGGGACACCAGCAAGGCCACCCAGAAGCACAGCCTGGCTACCGTCCCAGGCCAGGCTGGCAGGGCATGATGGTCAGGGAAGGAAAGCAGGACGGGCCGGCCACCACCCCATGCCCCTCTCAAGCCCTACCTCGGATAGGGGTCCAGACTCCTGCCAAGACCATGACAAGCACTCTGAACCCTCAGACAAGGCACCCCTTGCTCCCCCAGGCCTGGAGGAGCCAACCCTCCCAGGTGCCTCGGGACGGGACGCTCTGCTTTCCCAAGGCAGAGGACCACGTCCCAGGCTCAAGGCTGAGGCTGCTGCCACTTCTAGCACCCCGCGCTGACGCCATCCACCTGGCGCGCGCTCTGGAAAACAGTGCCACAGCAGTGGTCACCGCACAGTCACACGGACTGCCTGAGGTTCTGTCAGCCAGTTCCACCTCCACAGCCCAGCTGCCCCCACCACCTGCAGACACACACTCAAAGGCACACACACACAGACATGCACACACATGCACACGCACACAGCCAGACAGACAACACATGCACGGGGCTCACAGACTGCTTCCACCTGGGTGAGAGGCCTGGGGGCGTCTCTTCCCCTCTGGACAACACACACCAAACCCCAACACAGCCACAAGCAGGAATAGCAGCGTGGCTGAGCATCGTTCCCTCCCCACGACAAAGCCGCAGAGACACTGCGTGGCCCCAGTCCCGAGGAGGACGGTGCCCCTGGGCAGGACAGGACAGACACACAGCACTGCAGGGAGTTGTGGGGGACAGGCAGACACCTCCACAGAGCAGTGAGCTGCCAGCCCGGGCAGCTGCCCCAGGCAGGTGCAGAGGAGGATACGGCGGGAGAGCCTAGAGGCGGGACAGGGCATGGAGCGGGGGGCCCTCCCTATGGGCCAGCGCGGCCCGGGAGCTGCAGGTGCACAGGGTGCAGGGCAAGCCTGATGTCCAGGAGGAAAACGAACGGGGCTGGAGGAGAAACCAGAGAAACCACCCTCAGGGAACCGCCTGGTGGGGACGGGCGGGTAGACAGGGAGAAAGGCAGGAGGGGACGAGGGAGGGGACCAGGGAGGGAAGGAAGAGGGAAGGAGGATGCGGGAACTGAATCAGGGTGGGAGGGAACAGGGGAGGGTGGGAGAGGGGCAGCCAGGACACAGGACAAGTGGCCCAGAGCCCAGGAGACCCCAGGACAGAAAGGTGTGCGGGCAGGGGGGTGGTGGAGCACTGTGGCCACCCAAAGGCAGACCCCACTGCTAACTACTGGACAGTGTGCAGCCGACGCCAGCCCGGCCCCCTCTGTTAGTCACGGCCCAGGGCAGCCCCAGCCCCAGCCCCCGGCTGACGGCGCCCTACCTTCCTACCTTCCCACCGGCAAACAGCAGCATCCCGAACATGGTGAAGAAGCACAGGTGGATGGCCAGCAGCAGCCCGACGCTGGGGAGAACACGGCACTCAGCCCGGGCCAGGCGGGCGGCAGGCCCAGCGACACCTGACCTGCCTGCGGGGCTCGGTTACAGGGGCAGCCCGGAGTCTGCAGCAGCTGGGGTGGATCCAGCAGCAGGGTCCCCTCTCCCCAAGGGCCTTGCCTCACGCTCAGCTCACGGGCCCAGAGGAAAGGTTGGTCCTGTCCTGGTGGGGTCCCTCATTTGACAGTGATGAATGAAACCCTGGGGGCTCCGCTGAGGCAGCATCCGAGGACACCGGGCTCTCAGAGGGGAGGACACTTCCATCTACCAGAGCTGGATGGGGAGGGGTCAGCATGTGGCCACTAGGGACTCAGGCAACGCTGCCCTTGGCAAGAGCAGAAGGCAGCAGGGGGTCGGGATGGGGCGAGCCGAGGCTAGACAAAGGCTGGGCCTGGGGCGCAGGCGAACAGCCCTCCACTTCCAGCAGTGACAAGAGCCATGAGGGCTTCCAAGCAGGGGTGCCGTCAGAAGCAGCTCGGCTTTATAAAGTCTATGCTGGTGGCATGCAGACACCATGAATGGAAGGGGACGGCAGAGGGGAGAGGCAGGCACAGCTACAGCGGGGACAGAGGGCACAAGAGGAGACCCATCTGGGGGAGCGCCCACGGGACTCAGCAGCCTTCAAGCTGGGGCTGGGGTGTCTGCAGGGAGGCCTCTGCAGGACTGCTGGAACCACAGAGACCCCAACTGCCCACCCAGCAACCACCCCAAACGGTCACCAGCCAGCTGGGAATGCGGAGCGCACAGTCCAAGGTAAGACTCTGGTGGGCCCCACCTGCAACCACACGGCCTGGGGCAGAGAGAGAGCCTCTTCCCAACCCTGAGCACCCCGGGAGGCACAAGCCCACCTGGCCATTTCTGGCAGCGACCAGCGGATGCATTTCAAGGTCTTCTTCATCATGGAGGAGTTCTGCAGCAGGAAGAAGGGACGGAGGAGCCGGCGGACTCGCAGGGGCTAGAAGAGACCCAGGCAACTGAGAACCACATCGGCCGCTTCATCCACCCGCCACCTACCACCCAGGTGGGCACAGGGTTCAGAGACCCCAGTGCCCCGGGGGCCCCTCCAGGGGCACTGAGCTCAGAGTTGGGGGCCTGGCTCCAGAGCTGGCCTTGAGAGCTGCCCCAGGCCACATGCCATGAAATCCTTCCCGGTGGCAGGCCTCCCCATCATCTCCCATCTCCTGGACACCGCACACACGGGCTCCCCAACCCTAACACCTGTCCCCCCATCCCTGTCCAAGGCAATCCTCCCCTCTGCCCACCCAGGACACAGCTGGAAACGGTGGAGGCCCCGTGCCTCCCTCGGGACCCTCCTGCCTTGCCCAGCACACCCAGCATCTCAGGGGACCATCTCTGCCTCCTCCCCTGTCGACTCACCTCCCCTCACGCCCCTACCTCTAAGCCTTCCCCTCCCAGACACAGACACTGCCCCCGGGAGCCCCACCCCCACACAGCGCCCCCCACGCTCACAGCTGCCAAACTCAACACTCACATGTGCGCCCCTCCAAGCCTTCCCCTCCCAGACACAGACACTGCCCCCAGAGCCCCACCCCCACCCCAAACTCACACAGCGCCCTCCACGCTTACTGCACTCACACTCAACATTCACATGTGCGCCCCTCCAAATCTCACACGGAATCTGACTCCCAGTGTTGGGGACGGGACCCAGTGGGAGGGTCTGGATCACGGGGCGGATGCCTCATGAATGGCCTGGTGCCCTCCCTGCTGGAATGACTCCAGGTAACGGGTTCACAAGAGATCTGGCTGTTATAAGGAGTCTGGGGGCCTCTCAACATCTAACACACCTGCTCTCCATCTCCTTCTGCCATGAGTGGATGCTTCCTGAGGCCTCACCAGACGCAGATGCCAGCGCCATGCTTCCCATGCAGCCTACAGTGCCATGAGCCAAATAAACCCTTCTCTACGAACACCCAGCCTCAGGTATTCCCGTATGGCCATGCAACACAGACTCACACCCACACACTCTCACCGGTATCCCCGTCTTCCCTGCTTTTCTCCTGTGAGGACAGAAGGACCCGCCCACCATCACGACCCACAGTCCTGTGAACCCACCCCCGCCTTCTCAGGGTTGGCTCCATCACCACCTCCTGCCCCAACCATCACACATGAGTATGTTCACCCCTTCCATCATGCCACGTTTCCCTGCTGTCCCCTCTTCTCACCCCATTCCCCTGCTCCTGTCCCAGCTCATCCTCCCCTCCCAGCCACTGGGACCCACCTGGGGGTCCCCACGAACACCTTCTCATCCTGCCTGGCACCCCTGGCACCAGGCACAGCTGCATCAGTGCTCCTGTCGCACCGCACTGCCCAATCCACTGTGCTGGGCACCCTGTCCCTACCTCCTCTCCCTGCCCCACCTCCTCCACCTGTCCCTACCTCCTCTCCCCACCCCTCCCTCCTCTCTGGCCTCACACCTGCATTCAGTCCCTTAAGTATCACGTTTATACTTCGGCCTCTGTTAACCTCAAATCCACGCTCTCAATTGCAGTCTTGCATCCTCATCGGTATCTTGTTTTAGAAACGCAGAGCTATCAGCTCCTTGCACAAAAAACCCTCTAATAGCTGCCCACAGCTCTGCCCACAGTCTGCGGGGTCCCCGGAGCAGGCCCTGCCAGTCAGTCCAGCCCCTTCCCAGGCCTCACAGGCCACAGCCCTCAAGCCACCAGCCTCTACGCAGCTGGCCGGCTCAGCGCCCGTCCCTGCAGAACGCCGCCTCTGCCAGCGCCGCCCGGCCCCCTTCCGGCACCCACCACACTGGGAATCCCACTCTGCGCCGGCACTTTCATGCACTGGAAGTCTGCCTCCCTCTCACTCCAGAAGAGGGTCCCAGAGGACAAGGGACCTGCCTGTTCTGTTCACCAAGGTCCAGCCAACACCAGCACAGCAGGCCCTCCGGAATGTCTGCAGGTGGCTGACCCCAGGCACTCCCCCGACTCCCTGGGTATACTTATCATCCTCAAAAGGGACCCCAGGGCCTGGCGCAGGACTGAGAAGGCCAAGGGACAGCAGCGAACAGAGAACTGCGTGAGGCTCTGGCCCCTCCCTGTCACCCAGGTCACCTGGAACCCACTCACTGCCCACTGATCGGGAAGCTCTGGTCTTGAGGCCTGAAAACAAAGGCTTCTTTCAGCCGCTCTATAGGCCGAGGAGGGGCTGGGGGTGCTGCTGGGTCGTCCCCTCCCCTGCCTGGGACCTTGGAGCCTCACCTACCGTCAGACACACACACAGTGCAGCTTCCCCAGACACGGCAGGCCAAGCCTGAGGCTGTCCCGTGACACTGGGGCCATGAGGCCTCTATGAGGATGGGAAGGTGCGTCCAGGTGACCCGCCTCCAAGGACAAGCAACCACAATGCCAGTCAAGCCCCTCAGACCCTCAGACCCAAGGCCTTGGAGGGAAAGCACGTCTCAACAGCCGTGGAAAGACAAGTGAATGATCAAAACCCAACAGTGACTGACAGCCCAGGTGTCATCCAACCCACCAGACGCAAGACGGGGGGCACCCGGTGCTCCGCACAAGCCACCCAACGCCTGTGGGAGCCCTTGATGACTGAACAGATGGCCACGAAGGAAAACCTCAGGCCTGGTTTGCAGACATGCGGAGTGATGGCCAGCCCACGTGTCCCAGAAACGCACATATGTGCACTCCAGCCTCCATCAAGACAGCCCCGCACAGATGCTCCAGAAGGGAAAGCTCTGCAGTGGGCCAGGCAGGGCGGTCCCGTGTGTACTGAGGAAGGGGGCGACTCCCAGGTGGAAGACGGGGGCGTGAAAAGAGAAGGGAGAAGACTGGTGACGAGGTCTGGGAGGAAGCACGTGGACAGCCTGCTCTGAACGAGCTGCTCTTCATGGGCACGTGGCATGAGGAGCTGGTGCCCCACATGAACGCCCACCATGGGTATCTCGAGGAGGGGGCTCTCTGGCCAGGACAAGGAGTCCTGGGGATGCAGCGGGGCCACTTCCCTCAGCCACCCTGCTCCTAACTCCCTCCACCACGCACAAAGCAGCCACCACAACAGAAACGCAGGCTATGCCTGATGCCAACAGCACAGCTACCCAGACAAAGGCAGAGCCAGGCACCGGCCCGAGAGCCCCCTGGCAAGAGATGGGGCCCTTCCCCATGCCAGGCACTCATGTGTCCTCTCCAGACAGACAGGCATGCAGGTTATGAATACGCCGCCCCTTCCAGCTCCCCTCAGCAGCTACTCCCCACCAGGTCCTGCCGGCAGGTCCCTGGGGGAGGCGGAGCTGGGGATGTGCTCCCTCCTTCCCGTCACTGGCTGTTCCCACTGGCTGCACCCAAAGCTTTCAGCCTCCCCATGGGCACTGCCGGAGCCAACCTCCCTGAGCTTCTGGGAGGCACCAGCGCCCACCAGGCAGCGCCCCCTCCCAGGAGACAGAGGGCAAGGTCCCAGCTCTCTGGGTCCCTCCTCTGGGCTTCTGGGTGCTAACATCTCCATGTCTCCCCCGTGTCCCCTGGCCCAGAGGTGGGGCTGCTCCCTGCTTCTGGGTTCCACTGGGCTTCCTTTCACCATTTGGTTTCTTGGCACCTGTTTAAAGCCCTGTTCATATCCCTCGGGGCTCTGCTTCCCCGACAGCCCCAGTGGATTCTGCTGACTCCACACCCACCTCTCCCAGCTCTGTTCTCCCAAAGCGCAGGGGGTGCTTCTGGGCGCTGAGGGGCAGCCGAGACGCTGTGGTGGAAAGGGCTGAGCGTGGCGGGGTAAGTGGGCTTTCTCACTGTCGGGCCTCACAGAGCTGGGGCTTGTGGCGACAGGGCATGGTGAGGCTCTGGGACAGCGCTCTCATGTGGGGCTAGACGGCCAAGGCCTTCAGCTAGAGAGCAGGCAGCCGGGAAGCAGGGTCCTGGAGCCCACTCCCAGGCCCGCCCTCACTGTCAGGGAGAGCCGGGGGGCCCGGTGCCTTCAGGCCTCCATCTTCATCTGCAAGATGGGAACAGGGCTCCGCAGCCACGAGTTATAAAATGCCACGGAAGGTGGCCAGTGCTGGGCAGGCAGGCGGGCTCAGGGCCCCCATCCCAGCACTCACGTGGGCCTTGCACCCACACCCCCCCAGAGCTCTCTGCCTGCCTCAGGCCACCTCACTACCTACCTCATGACACACGAGACTCAGGGACACGGTCCAGTCCACCAGAGACACGACCAGCGCCACCAGGTAGCCCAGCAGCCAAAGGTCCTTCTGGAAATGTGCCCACCCAAACAGGTAGCCCTGCAAGAGAGACGGGCGGTGAGCAGCAAGCAGCCCCACACACTGGCCCTGCAGCCAGAGAACGATGGTGCGCAGGGCAGGGACAAGGCGACCGGGGCAGGGCGTGCTTCCACAACAGCATGGTCCCCATGGGACACTGAGCAGCAGTCAGGAGCCCCCAGCTCCCGCCCGAGCCTACCCGGGACTCAGGCAGCACCGAAGCTCTGGCCTGGGGTCCTCATCAGGAATGGGGGGCCTCCTGCCTGTCCCTCTGATCCAACCCCACCCTGGGCAGGCTGAGAAAACATGGAACGCATTCTGGAAAACGCTAGAACAGCACGGGCTCAGTGGGCAGGTGGCCGAGCACTCGGTGTGGCACTTTGCCCCGCCCACAGCCCTGCAAATGCTGCTTCAGGTGACGGAGCTCAGGCAGCCCCAGCAGGGCCCCACAGCAGCTGGCTGCGGGAAGGGTCCCAGCGCCTTAGGAAGACTCAGCAACACTGCCAGCTTTGGGTCACAGGGCACTGCCAGGGCACTGCCACAGTAAAGCAGTTTGGGAAGTGAGGGCGGGTCTGTTCTTCCCTTACCTAACTGCCCCTAACTTCCCACTGTCAAGAAAGTCTCCAGAGGCCGGGCGCGATGGCTCACCCCTGTAATCCTGGTACTTTGGGAGGCCGAGGCAGGTGGATTACTAGAGGTCAGGAGTTTGAGACTATCCTGGCCAACATGATGAAACCTCGTCTCCACCAAAAATGCAAAAATTAGCCAGGCATGGTGGCAGATGCCTATAATCCCAGCTACTCAGGAGGTTGAGGCAGGAGAATCACTTGAACCCGAGAGGCGACGGTTACAGTGAGCTGAGATCACATCACTGCACCCCAGCCTGGGCAACAGAGCGAGACTCTGTCTCAAAAAAAAATTAAAAGTCCCCAGAGGTCACAGCTTGCTGATGTACCTTCTCTCACCTTTTGACACTTCGCAAACACCCCAACTATTCAAAAAACGCTAATGACAACTTCTTGCCAGTTTCAGTTCCAGTTGAAAAACCCCTAGACCTGCTAACCACATGATGAGCAAAAAGGAAGAAGTGAGAAACTGCCCGGGTCCAGCCACAGCCTCGGTCAGCACGCAGCCCGCCCCGCCCACACAGGACCGCAGGGCAGCGCCGCACAGGGGCCCCACCCACCACGAGCCCACGTGAGCCTAAGGCCCAGCCAAGGAACAACAGGGCTGGTGCTGAGGAAGGCTGCCGCCTGGGCCCAGCCTGACACCATGGGCATGGACGTGGGGGTCCTGGAACGGCAGCGCTGGAATCACCGTTTCACAGAAACAACAGAACACGTAGCCTGCACCTCCCTGGAAAGTCGTTAAGGCTCTGCGGAGGCTCCAAAGCTTAGGTGAGCACCGAAGGCCCACCTCCAGCTTCTGGAAGGATGTGCATCACAGGCAGAATCGAGTCAACCGTGCAGCAGCGGCTGTCTGCCCCGTACTCGCCTCCTCTCCTCTTCAATGTGCGGTGGCAGGGTGAGCCTTGAGGGGGGACCACCTGGGCCTCCCCTACTCACTCGGGACCTCTCCTCACAGCAGCACTGCGGACCCTGGACCGTTCCCAGAGGCCCTGCCAGCCTGCGCCACCCCTGATGGCACACGGCCTCAGTGTGCATGTTGGAGAGGGAGGAGGGCTGGCACAGCCTCTGCCTCAGGCGCATGCTTGTCCAGGAAAGGTCAAAGTGCACTTTGCTCAGCACGTCGAAGTGCAAAGTCTGGGGAAAGGCAGCCTACCCCAGAGAATCAGCAATAAACCAGGACAGCAGCGGCCAGGCACTGGGAGGCCAGGGCAGCGTGCGGAGGGCCCGGTGCCCACCTCACCTTCACAGATAGGTCAGCCACAAAGACCAGCAGACAGAGCACCTCGATGCTCTCAGTCAGGCCGCAGGGCAGTTCCCAGGGTGCTGAGCGGTAGCGTACATCCGCCGTGCGGGTGAGCGAGGACGGGGTCTCAACAAAAGCCAAAAACAGGATCAAGAAGATGGTGAAGCTCAAAGTCCTGGCAAGGGGACAGAAGCATGAACAGGCAGGAGCCAGCAGCCCTCGGGGCCCAGAGGCTGATCAGTGGCTCCCCAGTCAGAAGCACGGGAGCTGGCACGGCCTGAGCACAGACACTCATGATTGGGAAGATCACGAATCTGCTCAGAGTTCCACTGCCGAGGGCTGACCTCGCATTCCAGAAGGGAACCCTTGTTGTCAAAGGAGCCCTCCATCCACAGGCCGGGCTCCTTTCCAGAGAGGATGATGGTAGCGGCCCCGTCTATGTGGGGAGAGGAGCCTGCCTGAACCCTGAGATCAGGTGTGGTTCCCACCCAGGGGCCAGCCTCCCCCCACCATGCAAGCTGGCAGGAACCCTGAGTTCCGCATGGGTGCATTCTCACCGTTGGCACGCGTTCGAGTAATACCGTCGGTAAAGCCACAGGGAGCTGGCATCCATCCGATGGTTGATGGAACGGTACTGGAAGCGAAAAGTCACACGAGGCATGACGGGCTGTGTGCAGGGTGTGCCCAGACCCAAGCCCCACACACACAGCCACACGAGGTGCCTGTCCTCGTTCCAACAGGCCCAAGCCTCAGGCTGTGGATCATAGGATACACTTCAGCATGTGGTCACGGCTGGCCCCGACCCAGCAGGCCCACACCATCACAAACCACGAGGTTTGCCCAACAGACAAGCACTCTCAAGCCGCACACCCAGGGCGGGGTGGGTGTGCAAGCAAACACTCCGGGAACGCCTGCTGAGGACACGGCCATGCGCGGTCTGCCTGCGAGGCGCTCTGTTCTCTGTGCAGGGTGGGCCCTCCCGCTCCCCGTGCAGCCATGTCATCCTCTGGGATGCCCCCACCCACCCAGGACCTAGAATGGGGTGGCCCACCACAGGCCTCAGAACATGCTGCATCAAAGCAGCAAACGCTTGCAGGATGCAGAAGACAAGTCCTCCGGGGACTGAGGGAGCGCCTGCCCAGAGGCTCTGCCCTCAGCTACCTGCACCTACAGTCCAGCATCCGAGGCCTTGGTCTGTCAGTCGCCCCTGGATGGGCGAGCCAATCAGAGGGCGGCCACCACCCAGGCCCAGCCACAGGGAGCAGGTGCCACCTACCTGAATAGCATCTTCGATGAAGACCACAGCCTGATCAATGCAGAGGTCCCACTGGGCCACAGCACCTGCAGGGAGAGGGGACACATCAGGTGACCAAGCAGGATGACACGGCCTCACCCTGCAGGACCCCCGTGATCAGGAAAGATGCCAGCTGCAGTTCTTCCCAAGGTCGTTCGTAAAGAGATGCCTCCACCCAGCAGTGGGGCCGAACCATGACTGCCCAGGGCAGGGACCAAACCAGGCAGGTGCCTTGGCATCACACACACAGCCAGGCCCAGGCAGGGCAGCTCCGCGTGCAGCACACACACAGCCAGGCCCAGGCAGGGCAGCTCCGCGTGCAGCACACACACAGCCAGGCCCAGGCAGGGCAGCTCCACGCGCAGCACACACACACACAGCCAAGCCCAGGCAGGGCAGCTCCGCGTGCAGCACACACACACAGCCAGGCCCAGGCAGGGCAGCTCCGTGTGCAGCACACACACACAGCCAGGCCTAGGCAGGGCAGCTCTGCGCGCAGCACACACACAGCCAGGCCCAGGCAGGGCAGCTCTGCGCGCAGCACACACACACACAGCCAAGCCCAGGCAGGGAAGCTCCGCGTGCAGCACACACACACAGCCAGGCCCAGGCAGGGCAGCTCCACGCGCAGCACACACACACACAGCCAGGCCTAGGCAGGGCAGCTCCACGTGCAGCACACACACAGCCAGGCCCAGGCAGGGCAGCTCCACGCGCAGCACACACACACACAGCCAGGCCCAGGCAGGGCAGCTCCGCGTGCAGCACACACACAGCCAGGCCCAGGCAGGGCAGCTCCGCGTGCAGCACACACACACACAGCCAGGCCCAGGCAGGGCAGCTCCGTGTGCAGCACACACACACAGCCAGGCCCAGGCAGGGCAGCTCCGTGTGCAGCACACACACACAGCCAGGCCCAGGCAGGGCAGCTCCGTGTGCAGCACACACCCAGCCAGGCCCATGAGAAGCAGCGCGTCCTGCAGGGCACTGGCACCAGGCTTGGGGTTCAGAGCCCAGCTCTTCCACAGGCTGGCAGGAAGGCTGGGGCTGGCTCCTACTCCATCAAGTGGGGCTGTTCACAGCCACCCACTCGGCTCCCCAGAGGGTACTGTGAGGTCCAGCATGGGAGCGCAGGAGCCCCCTGCCAGGGTCCCCAAGCATGCTCACTACACGGGGCTGTTGTCACCCCTCCTGTGCCCAGCCCTACCCTGGCTCCTGCACGGCCTTCATGAGCCAGGACACCACACCCAGTGCCCCACCCACCCCCATCAACCCAGACTTCAGATTCCACACTGACAGAGAAAACTGGCATCTAGAACCCGAAGGTACCGCTGTGAGGCTTCTTGAGAGCTACAAGGTCCCATCCCCTCACTGGCCCAGCCCATGGGCCAGGCAAGCCCACCCAAATCACTCCCAGGGTCAGAGCCATGGAACGCCAAGTCCCCCAGCCTCTGCTGATGCTTTCGTGTTGAAGGGTGGCCACCCACCTTTACCGACAGCACAAGTGGGTGGAGCCTCCTGGCAGGCCTGGGCCAAGGTGGCAGTGGCTCCTGACTAGAAGTGGCCTTCAGGAAAAGTCAGGCGGCACGGAAGCCAAGGCCCTGCACCCTGGGGAGTGCTCACAAGCCCCTCGCCACCAAGGAGCAGCCAGTGGGCGCACCTGGTCAGCCACTGAGCCACAGCAGGAAGCCTGGGTTACCCACCAGCATGGCAGGCTCCTGCCACCTCTGCCCACTGACCACAGTGAGGGGGCCCGGGCTACCCACCTGCATGGCAGACACATGCCACCTCTGCCCACTGACCACGGTGGGGCCTAGTCTACCCACCCACATCGCAGGCACCTGCCACCTCTGTGGCCTCGCTTCAGAGCTGCCCGTCAGCAATGACGGCAGAACCACAGCAGCTGAGAAGCGCGGGCAGGCTGACCCTTGCCAGGGAGAGGGGAAGCAGCTGCCTCTCCAGTTGAGATCTGCTTTTTCACCTGGCCCTCGAGGCCCACAGCTGCACCACGACCAGGCAGCGACCTGGAAGGAAGCAGCAGAGGCTCGGGAGGTGCTGGGTCCCCGGGCAGAGCTCCAGACCACAAGGCCGACTCTGTGGAGGTCCCTGGGGAGGCAGCTGCTCCTGTCCATGGGGCTCATGCCTGGGGACATGAGGTAGAGGCGGCTGGGCCCAGGACCGATTAGAGATGTGGGGTGGCCCCAGACGGACGCAGGAAGCCAGACCCCACCCTGGCTCTGCCCGGCCCTGCTGCCTCGCTGGGAGCAACAGCCTTCCCTCCCTGCAGCTCTGGCGCCCACACACAGCGATGAGACCCCCCCTGGGGACACCGAATGTCTCCCCGGGGAAGCTCTGAAAGTGGCTACTGTTTCTGTCCCCTGAGTGCGTCCTGGGGTCGCTGTGAACAGAAGCCACACTGTTGTTCCTGGCTGTATCTGCAGAGCCCAGAACTCAAGCATGCAGGACTCGAAGCTGATTTATCCATGAATAAATGAACGGCCCCGAGGGGAGCCAGTGCGGCAGGTGACCTGAGGGCCCCACCTCACCAAATTCCCTGGGAAAAGACAGAATCTCTACCAGGATAGATCTAGTGATACAAGCTCCTTAGACCAGAAGAGACGAGCTGCTGAGCTCCGGGCTCACTGCAGCCCCAGGACCACGGAAGGCGCTCAGGCCCACCCGGCCAGCCATCCCAGACCTCAGCGGTGGGCAGCCAGAACCGCCCAGCACCTGCGGCTGCCTTTCACCTGGATTTCCAGTTGCTGGTGTGTAAAATTCTAGGTCTGGTCATCCTCCGTTCCACCCTGCAGCAGCCCAAGGATCCTGTTCCAAACACCCAAAAGCACCCACAGCTTCCCCTGGGTGCCCCTGTTCGAGGCCCACACTCCCGCCTACCCTGCAGGTTCCGCATCTCCGGCCCACCCCTCTCCTGCCTTTCAACCCTCCGTGCCACTCATTCTGAACTTGGCTCTGCCAACACCACACTTTCCAAAACCCCCAGCCCTTCACCCAGGCTGCTGCTTCTGCCAGGAACACCATCCCTCAATTTGTGAGTCCAGAGACTCCCTTGGGGCAGCTCACCCGACCCTAAGCCCAACACCCTGGGAAGCAATCACCCGTCCACACACCGTCACCCCCCAGGGCTGGAGGGTTCTGCAGGACACAGAGGACAACAGGGGCTGGGACGCTGCCTCCGGCACTCCAGGCCTAGACACGGCTCCCTGACCCAAGCCTCTGCGCCGCAGCACCTGGCTCTGAGCTCCCGCTCCCCTCTTGCTCCAGGGTCCAGGCTGCACAAGCCGTGCCCTGACCAGCACGCTGTGTGACCCTGGGCAAGTCCCTTAACCTCTCAGTGCTCCAGGACCTCACGGACCCCACCCCACAGGAGCTAAGTACAAATTGAATGTCTTACTGTAGCTAGGGTGCTTTGCTGAGTGAGCCGGTCATCAGCACTCACTATTGCTCTTAAAGCTTCTACACTACAGCAATCCCTTGTCCTCTTTAGTAAAAGTGTGATTTTCTGATCCAGAAACAAGAGAAAACAAGCTCAACCTTTGACCCCAGCCCCATCAGGTGGGGCTAGGTCAAAAGGACCCGACGGCAGGGTCCACTGGCATCCTTGGGGCACCCGCAGCAGCACTTCCCCCCACCCGTTGGCAAGAGACCAACCACAGGACCTGCAAACCAGAGCACAGGCCCCAGCACAGAGACGGAGCCTTTCGGGGTCTCCGCAGTTCCACGGTCTGCGAGTCTCCTCAGGGAGCCTGGTCAAGGGGATTCGGAACGCAGAGCATCCTATCCATGTTCTCAGAAGCCCTGGGCAAGGCCACAGTGTGGGGACAGAGCACTTCCCGAGAGCCCCCTCACCAGCCACACTGCCCAGCAGAGCGGGTCTCACCTGCCAGGGTAGGACCTGCAAGGCTCATGGTGCTCCTACCCAAGATGGCCACCAGCCCCACACCAGCCCGCAGAGCCCTATGCGGAGGACAAACCCTGGATTCCCTCTGAATCCTCGAAGCACCCCCCAGGCAGTCCCTAGTATTATCTCCCTTTTCCTGAGATTCAGAAACATTAAGCGTGGCCAGGCACGGGGTCTCACACCTGTAATCCCACCACTTTGGGAGGCCAAGGCGGGCAGATCACCTGAGGTGAGGAATCAAGACCAGCCTGGCCAACGAGGTGAAACCCCATCTCTACTAACAACACAAAAATTAGCCAGGCGTGGTGGTGGGCGCCTGTAGTCCCAGCTACTCAGGAGGCTGAGGGAGGAGAATCACTTCAATCCAGGAGGTCGAGTAAGCCGAGACCTCGCCATTGCACCCCACCCTGAGCCTGGGCAACGAAGCAAGAGTCCATCTCAAAAAAAAAAAAAAAAACAGAAAGGTTAAGCAACTGCCAAGGTCACATGGCCAGGGAGTGACAGCCCCAGAAAGGCACCCAGACCCCTAGACAGACAGTCTATGTTCCCTGAACACTGCCGGATGCTGCGCATCTCATCAAGGGGCCTGCCAGAGCGGCTCCTCCAAGATCTCATTCCTGACCGGCCCCTGGAGGCAGCTTCTGAGGTGAGCAGACAGGTGGCCCCCTTGGCCTCTGGTTTTCATCTCCTGTCAGGGTCCCCTCCTTGGCCCCCACGATTCCAACCCAGTTCCTTCCGGACAGAGGAGGAAAGAAGAAAAGAGAGCCAGAGACGGAAGTGGCCAGGTGGGAACTCACAGCAATTCTAGCAGCAGCCGCACCAGAACAGAGGGCTGCGGCCTTGGGCAGGTCTCAGGGCCTCTCTCTGCCTCAGTTTCCTCATCTGCAAAGTGAAGCTAAGGTCCTTCCACCTCTAACCAGAACCTAATTCCCCCGGTGTCAGCGAGTGGGGGACGCACCCCACCCTGGGGGGCACTCAGCAATCTTCAGGCCAGGACAGAAAACAGGAAGAGAAGGAGGGAGTGGGGAGGGGACTCTGGGCTGGCAGAGGGCAAAGGGAGGAAGCCGCCCTGGTCTAGGGGACCTGCGCCAGCCCCACGGGAGGTGCGACCAGGAAAGGCGCCCTACAAAGAAAGGACTCCTCGCTCCCAGCTGGTTCGAATCCCACCTCGGCCACTTACTGGCTGTGTGACTTGGCTAGGGAATGCCTCTCTCTGAGCCTCAGCTTTCCCCCAGAAGAAACGGGAAAAATCAAAGTGCTGCCATCTCTGAGACCATCAGGCGACCCTCATTATGGCGACCCTCGGGAAGCACGGGGTCTGGGCCGGCCCGGGCACACGGATGGTACCTGCCGCTGGGGGCCGGTTCCCTCGGAGCTGCCCAGGGCTGGGCGAGGGCCTCTCCGCCGGTCTGGTCGGGACCCGGACGCGGCCTGGCAGCGACCCCAGCTCTGCCCCGACCCCGGGCCGGGGTCCGCAGGACGCAGCCCACCCGCTCTCAGAACACCGGCTCCCCTGGCGCCCGGCGCGGCCCGGGCCCCCCTCGGACTCGAACCCGGTGGGGGCGCGCCCGGCAGGACACGGGGTGCGTGGACAGCGGGACCCCCACGCGCGACCCCGGTCTCGGGCCGGCCCCCTCCCCACGCCCGGGCGGCTCACCAGGCCCGACTTGGATGCTGCGGCAAGTGGTCAGCCCCGCCGGACAGTCGCCGCCACCGCCGCGGCCCCGGCCCAGCAGGGGCTCCGACTCAGCCTGGGGCTCCGCCATCCGGTCGCCCGCGCGCCAAACCCGACCCTCGGAAGCGCCAGCCCCGCGGGCGCCCAGCTCCACTGCGCAGGCGCGGAGACCCCGCCCCTAGCGTTCTGGCAGGGTGCCTGACAGCACTGTGACGCAGAGGATCCCGGCACTTCCAGCCAATGAGAACGGGGTCTCCTGCGTGGGGCGGAGCTTCAAGGGCCCCGCCCCCCTGGGGGTGGAGCTCAGCTTCCTTCCACTCCGGGCGGGGCGGCGCTCCGGAGCTTAAAGGTTGAGGGCTGGGGAAGAAATACGTTCTCCAAGGATGGTCTTCCGGCCAGAAGCCTCAGCATCGCCTGTAAACATTTTAGAAATGCAAATTCTTGGGCCCTTCCAAAGCTACTGAATCAGTAACACTGCGGGCAGGACCCAGGAAACTGTATTTTAACAAGCAATTGGGGTGATTCTGATGGACAGGAGTACTGAGTACCTGGGGTGACTGCAAAGGACTCCCCCCAGAATGGAACTGGAGTTTACCCTCTGAGAGTGAAATTGGGAAGACTAAATGTAATTAAAAGTTTAAAAACACGTGACAAACTTAAAAATATATATATAGCATATACAAAAAATACATATATACAGCATATATAAAAAGTGTTTCCAACATTAATGCATACAGACTTGTATTCATTTTCTATTGCTACAGTGAAAAATTACCACGAACTTAAACCGTGAAACAACTGCCATTCATTATCTTTCAGTCCTATGGGACAGGAAACCCGTAACTCGACTGGGTCTCTGTCTCAGGGCCTTACAAGGCTAAAGTCACAGTGTCTGCTGCCGTGGGCTCTTATCTGCAGACTCTGGGGAAAGCCCACTTCCAGGCTCATCCAGGATGTTGGCAGAATTCTTTCCATGGCCCTAGGACTGAGGTCCACGTTTTCTTGCTGAATGTTGGCTGGTATCATTCTCAGCTCCTAGAGGCCACTGCATTCGTTCCATGACAGCTTGAACTCCTCCATCATCAGAGCAGCAAGCAAGAGCACAGTGAAGACTCCTCAAGATGCAGCAAGATGCTTCCAATCTCTGTGACCTCCCCTTCTGCCACATCTCTTTGCTTCCCCCCTCCCTTTTGGGGAGGAAGGGTTTAAAATCAATATAGCCGGGCGCCGTGGCTCACGCCTGTGATCCCAGCACTTTGGGAGGCCGAGGCAGGTGCATCACAAGGTCAGGAGTTCGAGACCAGCCTGGCCAACATGGTGAAACCCTGTATCTACTGAAAACACAAAAATTATCTGGGCACAGTGGCACACTTCTGTAATCCCAGCTACTCAGGAGGCTAAGGCAAGAGAACTGCTTGAACCTGGGAGGCGGAGGTTGCAGTGAGCTGAGATCCTGCCATTGCTCTCCAGCCTGGGTGACAGAGTGAGACTGTCTCAAAAATAAAAAATATAAAAATAAAATCAACATAACACAAAATTTACCATCATAACTGGTGAAAGGAAAATAAATCTCAGGACCCCAAAATCACTAAGCCAAAGGGAAAAGTCATGCTGGGAACTGCGTTGGGAAAACCTGCCTCGCTTTTTATTTGTTAATAAGACAGCTATAGGCCAGGCGTGGTGGCTCAAGCCTGTAATCCCAGCACTTTGGGAGGCTGAGATGGGTGGATCACTTGAGGTCAGGAGTTCAAGACCAGCCTGGCCAACATGGTGAAACCCCATCTCTAAAAAAATAAATAAATAAATAAATAAAAATAAGACAGCTATAAAGATCTAAAAAGCTACATACCTCCCTCACAATTTGCCCACTAGGAAATTTCTTATGGGCCCCAAGCTCTTTACCCTAAATCTGTTCTGTTGAATTTTACCCTGACAATGTAAATTCATGGCTTATCGTCACCCCCCACCCCACCCCCGAAAGTGTAAATTGTATATTTCAGTGAAAGGCTGATCAAAGACTCAAAAGAATGCAACTTTGTTTCTTAGCTCCCCACACCTTTTTAAAATTTCTCCCTTTCCCAATACCTCCTCTTGCTTCCTTGCACAGGCTAGAGTTGCACAGGCTAGAGTGCAATGGCGCGATCTCCGCTCACTGCAACCTCCGCCACCACGCCCGGCCTCTTTCTCCTTTAAATATTGAAGCTTTAAATATTGAAGCATCCTTGGAGGAAGGCATAGACCTGCCTACCGGGCAATTCTTAACCTTTGCAAAATGGACTTACTAAATAGATTGAGACCTGTCTTGGATACTTTGGGTTCACATAACTTTATTTTTTCTTTTTTTCTTTTTTCTTTTTTTTTTTTTTTTTTTTTTTGAGACACAGTCTCACTATGTCACCCAGGCTGCAGTGCACTGGTACAATCTCGGTTCACTGCAACCTCTGCCTCCTGGGCTCAAGCGATTCTCCTGCCTCAGGAGAATCCCCGAGTAGCTGGGATTACAGGCATGTGCCACCACACCCAGCTAATTTTGTATTTTGTTTTTAGTAGAGACGGGATTTCTCCATGTTGGTCAGGCTGGTCTCAAACTCCTGACCTCAGGTGATCTGCCCACCTCGGCCTCCCAAAATGCTGAGATTACAGGCATAAGCCACCGTGCCTGGCATCACATAACTATTTTTAAGTGTGCAGCTCATCGGTATTAAATACATTAATGATGCTATGCAGCTATCACCTCCAACCACAGAACTCTTTTCCAAAACTGAAATCCTGGACGCATTAGGCACTAATTCCCCATTCCCCCAACCCCTGGAAACCACCGTTCTCCTTTCTATCCCTATGGTTTTGACGACTCTAGGTACCTCATGTAAGTGGAATCCTGCGGTATTTGCCCTTTTGTGACTGGCTTGTGTCATTTAGCCTGGAATCCTCAAGGTTCATCCATGTAGCATGTGTCCAGATTCCCTTCCTTTTTAAGGCTGAGGAATACTCCACAATGGATCGGCAATACTCCACAGCGTTTTGCCAATCCATTGATCAGAAGGTAGAAGCCACCCACGAATGGGCACTGGGTGGCTTCCACCTTCTGCCTGTTGTGAACAATGCTGCTGTGAACATGTTGTGCACATAATTCATCAAGACTCTGCTTTCAGGCGGGGCGCGGTGGCTCAATTCTGTAATCCCAGCGCTTTGGGAGGCTGAGGCAGAAGGATCACCTGAGGTCGGGAGTTCAAGACCAGTCTGACCAACATGGAGAAACCCAGTCTCTGCTAAAAATAAGAAAATTATCTGGGCGTGGTGGCACGTGCCTGTAATCCCAGCTACTCAGGAGGCTGAGGCAGGACAATCGCTTGAACATGAGAGGTGGAGGTTGCAGTGAGCCGAGATCGCACCACTGCACTCTAGCCTGGGCAACAAGAGTGCCAAAAAGGGGAAAAAAAAAAAGACTTCGCTTTCAGTTCTTTTGAATATAGACCCAGAGGCTGGGTATAGTGGCTCACACCGGTAATCCAAGCACTTTGGAGGCCAAGGCAGGCAGATCACCTGAGGTCAGGAGTTCAAGACCAGCCTAACCAACATGGTGAAACCCCGTCTTTAAAAAAAAAAGAAAAAAAGAAAATTATATATGTATATATATACCCAGAAATGGAATTGCTGGATCACATGGTAATTTATTTTAAGTTTTCTGGGGAACCACCATACTGTTTTCCATAGTACCATTCACTTTTAACCATCCCAACAACAGCATACAAGGTTTCCAATTTCTCCATGTCTTCACCAACACGTCACTTTATAGGTTGCAGGCTTTTTTTAACAGTAACCATCCTAAAGGGCATGAGGGGTGTATATCTCATTGCAGTTTGAAGGTGCATTGCCCTAATGATGAGTTGAACATCTTTTCACGTGTTAATTGTCCCTTTGTATATCTTCTCTGGGAAACATCAATTTCAGTTCTTTGCCCATTTTTCAATCAGGCTGTTTGGTCTTTTGTTGTTGAGTTTTAGGAGTTTTCTACATAGTCTGGATAATAATCTAGTATCATTTTTATCAATTGCAAATAGTTTCTCCCATTCTGCATGTTATCTTTTTCCTCTGTTGATATTGTCTCTTGTTTGTTTGTTTATGTGTTTTTGAGAGAGAGCCTCACACTGTCACCCAGGCTGGAGTGCAGTGGTGGGATCTCAGCTCACTGCAACCTCCGCCTCCCAGGTTCAAGCGATTCTCCTGCCTCAGCCTCCCAAGTAGCTGGGACTACAGGCACATACCACCACGCCCAGCTAATTTTTGTATTTTTAGTCGAGATGTTAGTTTCACCAGGTTGAACCAGGCTGGTCTCAAACTCCTGACCTCAGGTGATCTGCCCACCTCAGCTTCTCAAAGTGCTGGGATTATAGGTGTGAGCCACCACACCTGGCCTGATACTGTCTCCTGATGCACAAATTTTTTTAATTTTCATAATGTCTAACTTGGGTACTTTTTGTTGACTGTGCCTGTCATGGCATATCCAAGAAACCAATGCCAAATCTATGCTGAAGTTTTTGCTCAAAGTCCTTTCTTCTAAGATCACTTCATTTTTAAGGGCTCGTGTGATTATGTCAGAGGCGTTAGAACCAGCTTGAGTGAGGGCTAGGAACAATGAGGCTGGAACTTGCTGGACCGCATTCCCAGAAAGTCAGGTATTCCTAGCCTCCAGATGTTCTTGGTTAAAGGAACAGATTGGTAACGTTTACTAAACAGACTCAGACTTGGGAGTGCCCTGATAGCCTGATATCTTGAGAATAGAAGCATTCCTAATTTTGCTTTAATGGTAATAATATTGATTCTTGCAAAATACAGTCATTAAGAAAATTAACTCTTTATCACTGCCTCATGATCTTTGATCTTCATCCTGCGTATAAGCGAGTATATACCTAGCGTGGACATGTTCCTCCTCTTACTTTCTGGGAGATCCTACTCTATGATTTCCATTCCTTTGCAATTGCTGAGGAGTGATATACTTCCAATTATGTGGTCAATTTTATTTTATTTTATTTTATTTTTCTTATTTTTTTTTTTTTTTGAGACGGAGTTTCGCTCTTGTTACCCAGGCTGGAGTGCAATGGCGCGATCTCGGCTCACCGCAACCTCCGCCTCCTGGGTTCAGGCAATTCTCATGCCTCAGCCTCGCGAGTAGCTGGGATTACAGGCACGC